TTTGCCGTGAAACGAGCAGAGAGGAAGGTGCAGAGCGTAACGCATGGCCGACCATAAATTATTGGTCGATGCTCGGAATTAATCGGATCCTAGGAATGGACGGGAAGACGAGGCCGTGTGCGCATTCATCGCGAAGAGGAGCTAGGGCGATAGAACGGTCGGCCAGGACCAATTAAACGAACAAAGACGTCTAAATGGGACGCTAGACCGTCATAGAAATATATTTACTTGTGATTGGATGCATTCAGTGGCTGCATGGGACGGCACGCATGCGCCGGGAACGAAATAACGAACGACCACTAGATCGCTCGATCGATAATGTCCTCATCCATTTCCATTCACCGGTTCGAGTAACACCTCGCCAGGACGAAATTACTTAATTTGCGCTCGGGTTGCTCTGCTCCTCGGCCTCTCGTCGGGATTGTGATCGTTTGTTATCAGGGGAGACCGAGTGATCTACGGTTGTTTTAGATCGTCTTTACTGTCCCCGCGTGCACACCATCGGTAACTCGTTGAAACTATCGCCACGTCCTATCTGCGAAACCGAGTTAAAAGCGAACGTTCGATGAACGATGATCGCGCCACGGTGCGGTAAGAGCTTGTACTAGATGGAATCGTATCGAGAACGATAACGTGTTTGTCGTGATCACGTCCTTTTTCTGATATCGTCAATTATATATTCAGATTATCTATTCTATTTACTCCGGATGGAAAAATTGTTTTTGCAAAGCCTCCCCTAAAGCCTAGAGATTATAGATGGCGCGATTCAATCGGAGAATCCAATTTAAGACGCGGTCCTAACAATGGGAATCGATTAACGTCTCGCGAAACGAAGACGCAGAAACGTATGTCGAAACGGGGCACCCGATTCCGTCGATAAGCGACCGACTGCGTTTCACCTTCGCCTCGAGATAAATCCGGATTAGTCCGATGAGGCAGTCGGAAGGGAAACGTTGAATCTTAAGGGGATAAGGTTACAGTAAATATAACGCTTTGCAGTTAACCGGTTCCACTCGTAAATTCCCAAGAGGATAGTGAATTTATGCGGCTGGCAATTTATGTAGATCCGACCAGCTAGTCGGCCGCGGACATCAAACTCAAAAGTATCGAGCTTACAAATAAATTTAACGTCCATTCAACTTCTAAACACGCGAACATCCGACAGGAATGTACAGTAAAGTATTTTGCTATAAAGCGTGTTTCAGAGCCCTAACGTCGTGCTGAAGTACTAAACGTTAAAACTTTCTCTCCGTTTGACTTAAACGATGTTGAAAATTGCTAGATAAGGGCCGGTTAAAGAGAGTGAGAAGTATATGAGTTAGAAAATTGAATTTTCCTTAAACTACGTGTATTCTCAGGCGTCATAGCCCTGTCTGTCATTCAACGCCGCGTTTCGGCCAAGATGGTAATTAGTGAGATTCTTTTTTACCATTCGCTGAGATGTTCGACGACATTATTTTCTTGTTTTTAATTTAATACATTGACTATTGTTAACGTCAATAATAGCTGGTGTCGACTAAATAAATATAGGATTCCTTTATTATTTTTTCAAACTTTTCTCTAAAATTTGAATACGTCGATAATTGCCGATAAAAATTTGTGCTAATTAAATAGATATTTTTTGGTTACTTTTTCTCAAACGTTAACACGTTGATTGTTGCTATTGTTAATAATAACAATGCTAACTAAATGAATACTAAATACTGCCTTATCTAAATTTCAGCATTATAATTAACATTTCTGAGATATTTTATTTCAATACTATCGCGGTAATGGGAATTCTATTCCAACAAGATAGCTACTAAAAATGCAAAACACCATGGACAAACGTGTTCGCACACCTCCGAGATTCGTGCATTTCGACCCAGCGTTTTCTTTTTCTCCTTTTACGATCATTCTCGGCGGAATCGTTGTGGAATCGAAGCCGCGACTCGATTGGTAACGAACCCGATCTCATATCGGGGAATAAAGGGTGCCGATCGAAAAGAAAGGAGAAAAATCACGTGGATCGTTAACCGAGCCGACGACAATGTTCGTGGCGTGGTTGAAGCCACCATGGCAACAAATCACTCCTTATATAGTCGATCGGAGTTTCTGCGCGCGTAAGATGAAAAGAAACGGTGCAAAAAAGAGGAGGCGGCCGCGGAACGGAGGAGAAAAAGATGAAGATGACGAAGGGAAAGGTAGGGATGTGAAGGGTACAGCGAAGAAGACTCGACCGGGAGAAGAGTGGAGGAAGAGGGATCGAGCCGCGAGGCCCCATGCGGCGCTGAATCACGCTCGAACCTTTTTCACTTTGAGGTCCTTCAACGGTGCCCCTGTTGGGTCTTACCTTTGTGAGGCTGGCGCCGTGATTTTTCATCGGCGTCGGGAATAGTCGAAACACGACGGACTCTGTCTCGCTCGGCTTGTATTTCAGGCCCTTCGTCTGGCCGCCTTCCCTATTTCTACCGCGCCAACCGGCCCCCTTTCCCCTTCCACCACCTTTTCCTCCCTCGATCGATTATTCCCGACTATTTTTACACGGTATTCACGGTTTACCGGACTCCCATTGGAATCTCGGCTTCGTTTCTGGCATTCTCGGTACCGACGACTCGGTATAAATTATACTTCGTGAAAACTGCTATCTGTACTATGCTCATCTCTCACGAATATAAGACTGATGAAAATTTCGGATCAAGTTCCGAAAGGTCCCAATTAATTTTTCGTATAATATACTGAATTTTACTTATACGTACACATAATAATAGTAGCCGTGCATGAGTCAATTCCCAACCATCATTTTGCTATCGTATCTACGTGCAACAACACGTGGCAGCAACTAGCAACCAATAGTAGTATAGCAGATGAATTCTTGGGAAAGGTATCTTCATCGAAATAAATATGAATTTCGGTGAAATTTAGCATGTACTCCACTTCCACGCATAACCTAATCTAACGTAGTCATTACGTAATTTAACACACAAAATGAAACAATTTAAATTATTGCGATGATACCGTGGTTATGATATTGAAGATCATCTCCGTTCCCCTAAATTTATCTATTTATCTTGACAGGTTACTAGATATTTTTAGGTTAGGAAGCTACTTATGGGTTACTTAGGTTACCCATAACCTATAAGTTACCCAGGTTACTGGGCAGTACTTTTCAGAACTGTAACCAAATATATTTCATTTTCAATCTTTGTGAAGGATATACGGGGTGTGCTCGAAAGTTTTCAAAATTTTGCCAGACGATTTGTAATCGTTACGATTGAATGGCGCCAAATGGTCGGCGCGATTGAGGGATTTTTAATAAAAGAACGGAAGGACTTGTGAAAAATGAGACGTGAATGAGAGGTGGGAAAAAAAAGAGAGGAAAGGTAACAACGGCCCGTACGAAATTCCTATCGCGGGGATCGATACGGTTGTTGAAGCTGCGTTCGGTTGTAACGACTGCGATAAAGAGGAAGCAGATAAAAGGGAACGATAGCGGAAGAAGCGAAGAGAATGGGCGGGCGCAAAATGAGAGTTACATCGAAATCAGACGATGGGTGTTCCGCCAATCAATTGCTACTTGACAGCGAATGGTGAATGCTATTGATGATCGGGAATGATTAATGACGCGGCGGAGCTATAAACGCGGTAATCTGTATCGGCATCGAAACCGATTTACATTGTACCGTTTCTTGTTTCGGAGGTGTTATGTACCAGGCCGCCCACCACTGGTTCCTTTCGAATCAGCTATTCTCCCGGCCCGATCTAGGGACCCCCAGACAAATGGCTGAGCACGACTAAGAGCGAGTCCCTTTTCAGATAGAAAATTATCACTAAACCTACCGTGACTGATTAAATGACCGTTTTTACATTAATTATTTCAAAATATTCTGCGTCCACGTTATCACTTTCCTTATAATATACTTTGAAAGTATTAATGATACTAAAACATGTTTCAAAATAAAACTAGATAGTACTAGGGAGTAATTTTGTCAGTGCGTCAGTATCTACATAAAGGTACCAAAGCCACTTATAGTGCAAGATAATTGCTTTAGAAGATATTATAATTTTAATATCAGACCTTTTTTGTGAATTATTTATTTTTTAATAAAATTTAGAAGATGTAAAAACTTGAGGGTAGATGTAAAATGTTTAATACTTCTCATGGAAAGTGTATAAAATTCTGTTATAGCATATCAGGTCGTTGAAAGTTTTGTGAAGTACCAAATTATACCCAGAATAGGTGTAGGTTCTTCAGTTAGGATAGCATGGATTATTACTTGCGTAACAGTCTTCTAGTTTAATATGAAAAGTCTCCATGCTTGTAATTTCTCTCAGTCACGTGGGCAAAATTTAGAATGTTGCTGGGAATTTAATAGGCATCGTGACAAAATTTAATATTAGCTTGCAGAGTTTAGACTTTGATGAATAATCCATGCAAAGACAGGCTTTGTCAAATATAATTTGCCAATTATCGTGTTATATATCGAATATTTAAACTGCACCAATAATGCAATATATTATTACCAATAAAATCGACGAGACAGTATTAATTTTTCAAGATTTCAAGCAAATAACGAACCTCGAACTACCTAACTTATAAATCTATATTAATACAAATTTCTACTCCTAACATTTTCAAATTTCACACCCAACTTCGTCTTCAACTGGGCAAGCATTCAATGTATAAATCCCTTAAGAGAAAGAACCTAAAAAACAAAAAACGCGAACTTAGAAGCTTTTCTTATGACATAGTACATCTATATAGCAAGTAATCAATGCAACCGCATGCTCCAACTATTGAACGAAACAAACTGGTATATAGCATATTGACAAAATGCCCTGTGCACATTATCGAAACGGACCTCACGGATCGAACTGCCAGAAACTGTTGCGGACACGTTTGACCGAGAGGAAGTCTTTCGCAGACGGTCTCTCCGCAGCACAATTGCACATAGCAGTTGTCTCTGGGTAAAGTCAGAACAAAGAGTCCATGTAACACGATAGTGGGTTTCGTGTTTCAGACGGGCATGCTACGTGGCGATCACGGGGAGTTCTGGTTGGAACCAGTCGCCGTGTCCCCGGAAGAAGAACGAGTCCGGCTGGAGGAAAGGCTGGAAGACGCCGGCGCCGAGGGCCGTGCCACGGCTGGGCTGTACCGGAACTCGCTGCTCGGTAGGCCGCATCTCGTGTTCCGTAGGTCCGCCGAGCAGCCGCAGCTCGAAATCGGCGCCGCCGGCCGCAGCAGACGCCGACGAAAAAAGAAGAGAAAACTCGAGAGAAACTGTGGCACTCGCGGTGAGAATCCACCGACACCGTTCTTCCCCCACCACGCCGTTTACTCTTGCCCGCACCCCATCCCATTCGTCATTCTGCAAACCTTTTTCTTCTCCTTTCTCCTTTTCGTCCATTCTTCTATCTCTCGGCTCCTTTGCATCGGCTTCTTAAGATTCTCCTTTTCGTTTTGCCCCCAAGAAGGGCCTAATCCAAAGGCGACTATTAGCAGCGTGTGTCGGCTTTTTTTTTCTTCCACTTGCTGATTTGCTCGATCTCCTGGTGATAAAATTCTCGTTATTAGTAATTTAGCTTAACCCCAAAAACGTGTTTCTTAAAAAGTTTATACCGTATAATAATAATCAGGTACCCTGTTGCATATCCTTATTCAAAATTTTATATTTTCCCACCAAAAGGTTCTAGTATTTGATGAGATCGTTATTTGGTTTTCTCTTGTCATCTGTTAAAAAAGTGTCTGTCAAAAATGGATTCTTATGTAATAATAATTTTTATATTACGTTCTGATTACATTTTGTACAAGCTGCGTGTCTATCACATAACTGTTACTTGTGTTGTAAATATGCTTTTAACAGTAACACAGTGTAGAAACTCATAGGGGTGACTGTATTTCACGAACATGGAACGTCGATGATTTTAGTCATTGACATAAGAGTTAATAGATGGACGAGTCACTGTTAACTATAACAAAAATACGAATATATATTATTTTTCTCACAGACAAATTAATTTTGCGAATAATAACGAAAATTCACTCTTACCATGCATGTAATTTTGTCTTTAATATCAACCGGCAGAATTTTTATGATAACCATAAAGTTTGCTATCAGCTAGTGGTCAAAAAAGAATTCATCGAGAGTCTCAGAAATTTATCCGTACCGTTTGAAAATTACCAATTAGCGAAGTAGCACCCTTATTCTCACACGTGGTATCTAATTTTCACGAAAGAAATTTCCCATAACCGACGGCTTAAATAGTAGATCGAATCTCCAGTTACCCTTCCAACCCGTTCTCTTCTCGTTTCGTCCATTTTTCTTTTTTTTTTCTTTTTTCGATTTCTCCTGCTAGGAACATTTATGCGTCTGAGGCCACGGGGTAATTGGATACACGAGTTGTAAAGCGTGGGCGTGTCGACGCCGAACGTTATCTTCTTATCGATGAAATTGCTTCGAGATACGACAAATGTTACCACTCGAGAATTTTTCTCCCGTTAATTACGGACCTGTGTAATTAGAGACTGTTTTTAAGGTGCAGCGAACGTGAGTATAGCACTTCCTAATTAAATGGTAGTATTTCTGAATCTTTTATACTTACATATGTACCCGATTCTATTCACGCGCACCATATCTTCGAATCAATTCCATTACTTCGTATAATGAATTTTACCATTCTAATTGCGTTACGCGACAACCTCAATGTAAATCACAAGTACAGTATAGGTATAACCCGTTTGCCGGATTACCGTGAACTTTCTGCCATCCTTGATGTTTATCCTAATATTAATGTGTTCTACTATATCATAGTTAGGTCGTAAAATATTAAAATAATGTTTATTGCACCATAGAAGCTTATATCACTTTTCTTTAATTAAAGAAAGAATTAAAAAATGGGATTTAATGGTGCAATGAGACTTGGATTTTTTAACTAATTTTAAAGGTTAAAATATTTCTCGGTAGGAGTAACTGATAATTTTTTACCGACCGTTCCAATCACATTTCGCATAAATAGAATTCTAGATGTCGCTTGTACGTTTGTCAACAATTAAAACTCTTTTAAATTAATTCCAGCAGAAAGCTAGATTACACTACACTGTTATTTGTTACAACAAACGCGAATTAAATATGCGCAGTAATAAGCTTAATTTTTTACCGCGATTTTTTTCATACAAAGCCATCAAAGTCTGCAATACGGTGAAATTAATAAGAATACGCTATGTCTTTGTCAACCGCCCAAGAAGTTAGTTCTCCCTTTCGATCGTAAATCTGTTTTAACAAATACTGAAGCCACGCCTTATTTCCACCTGTTTATGCATCGCGAGCGCCACCATCGTCCAAGACGACGATTCCGTTAATTACATCCATATAATTCACTGACGAAGCGTGGCCGATACGAAAAACCTCAAGAGTCTACCTCTAGCGGCGACGAGATTATAATTAATAGTGAACCAACCGACGGAGCGATAACTGTAACGTGGTGGGGAACAGAAGGGAAAGGAATGGGAAGCGAATGGGAAGCGGCACCCATAGTGAGAACGGACCGACACCTTCTTTTTCTTCTCCACCTTCGCGTTCCCGTTCTCGTTCCCGTTCCCCACCCCATGGCTCCCTCTGGCGACCAGCTTGTTCGCCAGCGGCGCCTATTACGAGTATTTATACCGTTTACGCATATAATGTAATTGGATGCGTAGCTCTATAGGTGACGTGGGCGTTCTAGCGACATCTTCCGTTCATCCTTTTACCGGCACGAACATCTTTGACCGTGTCGCGAAAAATTTGAATTCAATATTTATGAGCTTATCAAAGTCCATTTCGATAAAATCTCTCTGATGATCTGTCTACGTTCGGTCACTAATTATCTCGATATTGGATATTTTAATATATAGAGTGCGGGTTAAGAAACTGGGGGAGTGACTTGTCGCGTGACCAGTCGTTGGTACTTCTTATTGCTGGAATAAGTAAATCAACGCCTATTTCTATTGATATCTCCTTGAAACGAGTTTACTATTATCAAATCCGTGAATCGTACACGCGAATATATTTTTCTTAACGACTTTAATTACGAATGACGTCATCAATGACCAGTTCTTTTACGATCTTGTTGGATGTTTTAATTAATTATCTGTGAACTGGTATTTCTTTCCGTTTGTGGAATCAATAGCCGGAGAAGTTACGGACTAGGATAACGAGAAATAAAATAAAAATATAGTTGCACGATACAGAAAATATGTAGCAGTCTAAATAAAAAAATGTATACAAAATTTTTTACGAAACATAATGGGATATACTATTTCAGAACAACAAATTTAATAACTCTGATAAACAAATAATTTTACACATTAACGTGAGAATTTACATTTCCTTTCTTACCATGAAAGTTACACTGATACCCTGTAGCCCGTCGGTATACCACCAAACTTTGATCGTCTGATTTCAAATTAACTGTGCGAATAGACGCAAGGGGCGCCATCAGCACCATAGGAAATGAGGCAGCTTAAATTCTCGTGAACCGAAATCGGTAGTTGAACCATGGAGCAAAGTATTCAAGGGAGCGAAATTAATTCGGCTAATTTGGTCACGAATTTCGAAAGTGGTGATCCGTGACCAGTGTGTTTGCCGTGATTCCCATGTACAACCTATTAACCGAGTGACGAGGCCGCGTTTCAACGGATTAAACAATCTCGCGAGGAAACTGATACGGAGGTAAGATCCAACTTGGTTGATAGGTGGCGGCATGGTCGACACGGGATAATCCAATTCGCTGCAAACCCGTAATTAAGCGCAATGAATATCCATTTCGGCAAGCTGGCCGATCTATCGGGAGGCTCGAATGAAATCTTAATTATACGCCTCTGCGATCGAGCAATCTGCATAAATTAAGAGTCCGTCTTACGTGCCTACCGTGTGTATGTCTTTTTCGAGATAGAGCACAGACCGAGCTCTTAGATAACTGTGGTAATTTCTGAACGCTGCATTACCCGAGGAAGATTGATGAGCTTGCATGAAAATTAAACATACGTTTTCGCATCGTCTTGCCCTTCATTACCGACCTGATTTTTCTATCCGCGCCTGAAGGATTAGTTCCTTAATCAGCCACCGGGGAGAGTTTGAAGCACGCGTTTTACAATTGCTTAATGACGAATCGCGTGAATACGGATATCGGGTATGGTCAGTTTAGTTCGATCCTGTTCCTAAATTGCTCAATTTCCCAGTTCTATGTGAAAACGACTAGTCGATTCTCTCGTAAATCGACACCTCAGCGAGATCGTGGATCAGCAAATATATTGAGTTCGCCGTATCCTATACGTGAAATCCGTCAAACGCTCGATCCTATAGCGGCTCGGTGATTAATCATTCGATCGGCGTTCGATGATTCGTGTCGAGAAGATGGAATCCCTTTTACGAAAATCAAACGCTATTGCGTAAACGCCGGTCCCATTGAACTGGAACGGAATTTCAACACGAGATGCTAATCAAAGGCTTGATGGGGGGTGGGGTTATGTTTCACAGAGCCTAGGCGGCTGACGGAAACGCGGCTCGAGTGGCAAACGCAGCCAGGTCTGGTGCAGGTTCAAGGACGGGGCCGAAGAAAACAGCATCAGACGAAACGATGGCAGCGTTCCAGGAGATCGATCAGCCGACCACGTCACGTCGAGGCTCTCGTTGTCGCTGACACGACGATGATGGCTTTTCATCAGGACGGCGACGTCGAGACGTATCTGCTGACCATCATGAACATGGTTTCGTCCCTCTACCTGGATCCCACCATCGGGAATTTCATCAACGTCGTCGTGGTTAGGATTATCCTTGTCGAGGAGGACGACGCGGAAGTACGTGCGAATCACGGCGGTGATGTGCGTTGTGTTCAACAACTAGATGCACGGTGGAATTACATGAAACCGTGTTATCTAGTTTATTATTAAATGATAAAATATTAGAATTACGTAAAATTAGCTTTCCTTCTGTTTATAAGAGAAGTAACTATAGTCAGGGATAAAGATCTTAGTCGACCGATGATTTGAAATAAGATTCTTTTTCCGTTTCTTTTATTTCTCTATTTCAGTAATTTGGATAACTGTTAAAGCTCTTTTAATAATTTAGAAAAGTGGGGAATAACCTTTTGACAGCGCAAGAGAGTAAGAATAAACAGTCGAACAGGTACATAGTGGAATATATAACAATTATGCACATAATCGACAAAAATGATTTTTGAACTTGTTTTTAAACATTTAAAATCGCACGGCACAACTAATAACCAGATCAGGGGTGTATCCAGGAGTTTTTGAAGGGGACGAAATGTGGAAAGGTACTTCAATTTTTTCAAGTGGCTTAAAATTTGCTTATAATATATATTTTGATATTTTTGTATGATACTATAACTTAATCAATTAAATTCATATTCATTATTTACGCATTATAAAAAGTCAATAATTGCGATACGTATGATTAAATAAAATATACAACTTAATATTTTCTAAAATTATTCTCTTGCAGGGGTGATCGCCCTCTGAATCCACCACTGACACGATCGTACAATTCGAAAGTTAAACAATCTTCACGACTGCCATCTTTAACTCTGACTATACCCAGAACTAACCTAACTCGACGTCGCTTGATGTTACTGTCTAAAGCGATTCAACGACATGCGGCTTGAACATTCGTAAATTATTCGAACCTTTGGATTGTTCAACGAAACATGAGGAAAAAATTTGAATCCTACCGCAATGTCGACATTCGAATTGGCGAGCATACTCGTAAACCGAAAGCACAGTACGATCGAGGAACGAGAGCCAATAGAAAATGCGCGCATTTCTATTCAACGGGTCGCGAAACGGCCGAACTAACGTCTGTTTTCAGCAAGGGCTGGACATCACGGTGAACGCGGACAGGACGCTGTACAATTTCTGCAAATGGCAACAGAAACTGAACCCGGCGGACGACTCGCATCCGAATCACCACGACGTGGCGATTCTAGTGACGAGAGAGGACATCTGCTCGAGGGCGAACACGCCGTGTAGCACTCTGGGAGTGGCCCACGTAGCCGGCATGTGCCAACCGGACCGCAGCTGCAGCGTCAATGAGGACAATGGAATCACGCTCGCGCACACCATCACCCACGAATTGGGACACAAGTGAGTGGAAACGTTCGATCGATCTTTGACCAGGGAAAAAAAAGAAGAGGAGGGAAAAAAGATAACGATTTCGTTGGTCGAGTGTCGCGGGCAAAGTTGTCCCTAAATTTCCAGAGAATTTCGTAGGGAGAAGTAACGACTCCCCGGAAGTGAATTATCTTCATGAGGCTCGAGTATTACCTCTTCTGTAATCCGGAGAAATTTATTGCCACTTTTTTATTAGATCCTTAGAAGCACACTTAGCCTGGCCAAGCTTCTTTGCCTCGCAGCAATTACCCCAAACATATTTCATATTTCTTGGTCACCAAGTATCCTCCATCTGGGTAACTTTTTACTGCCATGTACGTCTTAATATTTATATTTGAATTTATTATAGCTGACTGATTGCTATCTCCTTGCCTCACAACGTTAAATTTCAAGTGACAAAATAGAATTGGAGTAAATTATAATTTTAAACATAATTGCATTAGATTTATGAAGTTTAAAAGTAACTATAAAATATAACTTCGAAAGTATATTAAATATTCTGATCTTATTATTTAAAATCATTCTTTCACCGATAAATTTTGATTTACTACTAACTCGTCTTTACCGATATACTGATGCAGGTTTCTGCAAATAATTTTATCGCTGACATAATATTTATGGAAATATTGAAAGCAGAAGTGTCTTAGGTGATAAGGTTAAGTGATAGTAAGGTTAGAATAACTTGGATAACAAGGTTAAGTCAAGTTAGGACACTATTTCAATATTCATAATTTGCCACATTATTCGATTTAACTTTAACACCTATAACTGTCAAGTCAAAATTAAACTTCGGCCTCAATAAAAATGTAACGTCGATTAAATTTCTCAAACCACAACGATATCGCGATCCTTTAATTGCACACGAATCACCATTTATTCTGCATTCGATTCGCGTACAATGATGTCGATAAGGTAGTACGGGAAATAATCGACCGAACCAATGCAGATTATATTGAATCGACTAATGAAGAATTCGGTCTCTGTGCTCGTTATTAATTAACTCTTTTTTACTAACCGATAATGCGACTACGTTATCGCGTGTGAGCACGTGCGAATTTCTTTTGTGAACCCTTCTTCATGGTTGTCAGTCCAGTCGTTTCATTCGACGAAATGATTCACGACCATGACTCGATTCTGATTTCAGCTTCGGCATGTATCACGACACGGAAAAAATCGGGTGTAGCAAGAGGGACGGTGACACTCTGCATGTGATGACTCCGACGTTTGAAGTGGACACCATTGGCGTTGCCTGGTCTAGATGCTCTAGAAGAGACATTACCAATTTTTTAGAGTAAAAAATTCCTTTTTTTAATTTGCCTAAACTGTAATTTTTTAATTTTTTTTATTTTCTTGAGTCTAGTTGTGTAATTAAATGTTAGCATTTTTGGCCCCATGTTGAATTAATTGCCAAGCGACAAAGAAATATTCTCAAGAAGAATTTTTTTTCTACAGTCAAGGAAAAGGTGAATGTTTAGAAGATGAGCCTGCAGACAATGACTATTCATATCCAGATTTACCACCTGGTGCAATGTACAATGCGGAGCATCAATGCAGACTTCAATTTGGGGTCAGGGAAGCTTCTGTTTGCTCCCCCTTGCAGGAGGTGATGAACAAAAGTAAATCGAGTACGGGGCAATTTTAGACCGGTGAATAGAAATCGGTGATTTTGTTCACAGATTTGCTCTAAATTATGGTGCATCGTCGATGGCACTTGCACCACCATGCTTCATCCGGCTGCCCCGGGGACACACTGTGGAAAACATATGGTACGAATATCATGATATATAAGTGTATACATTTAACAATCGTGCTTCCCAATCTGCATTTCAATACATATGCAAAAATCAACGATAATCCAAATACAGTCTTTTATAAATTAGTTAAAAAGAAACTTATTGAAATTGTAAAGATTATAATCTTAAAATTAATTTCTCCTCAAATATTTATCAAGAGAACTGAAAGATTACCGAACCTTAAATATTAAAAGAAATATTTTGTACAGATTTTAAAATTAAAATACAGGTTTACCGTCTAGTGATAACGAGGTGACTAGTGACATCTAGTATCAGCTAGTCGACACTAAATTGATACAAAGGTAAAAGACAGTTAGACCACTGTGCCTCACTCGGTCTAAATGTATTATATTTTCTTCCTTATTTAAGGAGGGTAATTCTTACATTATGACTAATCAAACTTGCATTTTTTTCACTCGCCATCCCTTTATCTCTGCACAGTACGTTTGTATTCCGTATCAAAAATCAAATATTAATATAATATAATGACTTTGAACGTTGTCACAGTGGTGTCAGAACCAAGAGTGCGTTCCAATCGTTGACAGACCGCGTCAAATTGACGGTGGATGGGGAGAATGGGGCTCATGGAGCGAATGCTCGAGGACCTGTGGCGCAGGTGTCTCGATTGTCGAGCGAAAATGTGACCATCCGGAACCAGCACATGGTGGGAAATTTTGCATCGGCGAAAGACGCCGATATAAAATCTGCAACACTGAACCGTGCCCGGAGGGTACACCTAGTTTCAGAGCAGTCCAGTGTAGCCATTACGATGGCAAAGAATACAAAGGGAAGAATTACACTTGGCTACCATATTTTGATCAAAGTAAGGCATCAATTTTTCAAATTTTTAGTTAAACATATCAAGATAGTTTTTTAATTATAATTATTGAAGTAATACACATATAGATTTAGGCATTATGATACTACTGGAACTAATTGATTTCGCATAATTTTATCTATTTAATATTTATTTCTAGCTTTTAGAATAGGGATATTATGTATTCGTGTTATGTTTTTAATAAGTAGAACGCAATTGGACGAAATAACTTCGTATTTTATTGCATCTTACAACAATAAATTATTTTTTACCATTAATCTACACTCAGCCGATATTCCATTCAACTTTAATCCGTAGAATACTAATGAATATCGTCCTTAATTGAAGCGGAACCCTGCGAGCTTTATTGCACCGACACAGAGGAGAGCGTAATTGTACCATGGGGTGAAGCTGCTCTCGATGGTACACCCTGTAACGTTGGTACCAGAGATATGTGCATTGCTGGGATCTGTCGAGTTAGTCTACTTAGACAAAATTTTCAATATTATTCTTTTTGTCTCGATACATTTTTGAATTGTAATTAACACCGCAGAAAGTTGGCTGTGATTGGACGGTAGATTCAGACGCCACGGAAGATCGTTGTGGAATCTGCCATGGTGATGGAACCCAATGCGAAACAGCAGGGGGAATTTACGACAAGAACGATGGTCCTGGATACAAAGAAGTCGTCGTTGTTCCCAATGGATCAAGAAACATAAAAATAGAAGAAATTGGAAACAGCAAAAATTATATCGGCATAGGTGTGCCAAACTCTGACAAATACTTCCTTAACGGAAAGCGGTTAGTAATGTAATTTAATAGGACCTGTGGCGCAGGTGTCTCGATTGTCGAGCGAAAATGTGACCATCCGGAACCAGCACATGGTGGGAAATTTTGCATCGGCGAAAGACGCCGATATAAAATCTGCAACACTGAACCGTGCCCGGAGGGTACACCTAGTTTCAGAGCAGTCCAGTGTAGCCATTACGATGGCAAAGAATACAAAGGGAAGAATTACACTTGGCTACCATATTTTGATCAAAGTAAGGCATCAATTTTTCAAATTTTTAGTTAAACATATCAAGATAGTTTTTTAATTATAATTATTGAAGTAATACACATATAGATTTAGGCATTATGATACTACTGGAACTAATTGATTTCGCATAATTTTATCTATTTAATATTTATTTCTAGCTTTTAGAATAGGGATATTATGTATTCGTGTTATGTTTTTAATAAGTAGAACGCAATTGGACGAAATAACTTCGTATTTTATTGCATCTTACAACAATAAATTATTTTTTACCATTAATCTACACTCAGCCGATATTCCATTCAACTTTAATCCGTAGAATACTAATGAATATCGTCCTTAATTGAAGCGGAACCCTGCGAGCTTTATTGCACCGACACAGAGGAGAGCGTAATTGTACCATGGGGTGAAGCTGCTCTCGATGGTACACCCTGTAACGTTGGTACCAGAGATATGTGCATTGCTGGGATCTGTCGAGTTAGTCTACTTAGACAAAATTTTCAATATTATTCTTTTTGTCTCGATACATTTTTGAATTGTAATTAACACCGCAGAAAGTTGGCTGTGATTGGACGGTAGATTCAGACGCCACGGAAGATCGTTGTGGAATCTGCCATGGTGATGGAACCCAATGCGAAACAGCAGGGGGAATTTACGACAAGAACGATGGTCCTGGATACAAAGAAGTCGTCGTTGTTCCCAATGGATCAAGAAACATAAAAATAGAAGAAATTGGAAACAGCAAAAATTATATCGGCATAGGTGTGCCAAACTCTGACAAATACTTCCTTAACGGAAAGCGGTTAGTAATGTAATTTAATACGTAGAAGTACTTCAACACTCATAAATTTATAAATTAAATTTATAATTTATATCTAAAAATTGATTCAAATTTTTAAAATATTCATATAAAAAGAGATATAATTTTAAGATTTTTAGATTTATTATTAAATTTGAAAATTTGATAATACTATAAAAATGTTATAATATTATAAATAGTACTTACAAACTGTCTATCTTGGTTTTAAAAAATAGGAAGATAGAAAATAATATGGAAATATTATGATCTAGATTTTCATTGTGATCTATGATTTTCATTCCAATTGAACAGGCAGATCACTTTAGCAGGCGAATACGAAGTCGCTGGAACTCCAGCTCTTTATGAGCGCGATCATGATAGAGAAAAAGTCAGAATTCCTGGTCCCATCAAAGAGGACATTGCAGTCTACGTACGTATACGATATTACCTAAATAATTCTAATTATATTCCATAACTATTCCAAAATTTTCTTTGTTTCCAAACCCATTCCACTTATAATTAGCCTGTTACCTACGCAACCATCACCTTATCTGTCTATTTATCTACTTCACTTTTTATCGATTTTCTAAGAGTTCACATCCACTACGATTTCTCTAGCTCTTTTCTTCTCATTCTCAATAACGTTGTCCCATCACTTCAGTTGATTTCCAGAGGACACTATCGGAATTTCGGACTGCGGTACGAATACACAGTACCGAAGAAGGAGCCTGACCGTGCACCGGAGTATTCGTGGGTATTTTCTGACTGGTCACTGTGCACGGCCACTTGTGGTGGCGGCACGCAAACCTCGAAAGCACTCTGTAATGAAAAGAAGAGCGGGGTCGTCGAAGACCACTTTTGCGACGGCATCGATAAGCCAGAATCGATTTTGCGGGAATGCAATCTGAATCCATGCCCGGCCAGGTAAAACCCAAACCGAACCTCGATGGAATAGTGAAAAGTCGAATTAAAGTCTTTCAATCATGGCCGGAAGATAGTACACTGAATCTCACTACAGATTTTATTAATTTTATTTTTTATTATTTTATTATTTTATTAAATTTTATTAACCATTGGACTCAAATTTTGACCGAATTGGTTAATGAATATTATACTTTGATTAGATAACCTATAAATTTATTAGTCGAATACACAATAATTCTTTTTTTAATTTTTTTTATCAATATTCAGTCGCTGATTTCAGTGATTTTGCTTGAAATATTTTATTTTACTAACCTTATTTTTATACTGTAGTAATGGTTATTTGTAATAATTACTACTAATATCTAATTCTTAACTGCCTTGTCAGTCCATAAGACTAACAGAGTAAGCAATTTTTAAATAAATGCATACAAATAAAATTTGAATTATAATCAAATACAGATTTATTTTGCTAAAATTAGGTGGTGGATCGGTCCATGGCAAATGTGCCCGGTAACATGCGGAGAGGGTGCTCTTCGAAAACGATCAGTGATGTGTGTCTCTTCTGGAATGGGTCCCGACAGATCGGATTTAGCTCTGCCGGATCGAGATTGCAACCGAGACGTGAGACCCGAAGAAGTCAGTCCTTGCCTCAATTTGCCCCCGTGCAGTTCGACAGAGCCACCGTTAATCGTCTATGCGGATAATAAGGATGCCTCTTTCTACAATGTAAGCCTGAACGATCAGGATGGTATCACGATCGTTGATGGTCTTACGACTGAGGAACCAGAGATTCTCGAGTTCGATAATGTGGTTGATGAAAATCCAGATAATTCCATGTATAATACTAAATCAAAGTGGTTTGTTTCAAAATGGAATCACTGTATAAATGGAAAGAGAACTAGAAAGGTTACCTGCTCGGTGCAGGGAGACTGCAATCCAGAGAACAAACCAACCACCGTTGAAGTTTGTCAAGGTGGAAGATGGCTTACTGGTGAGTTGCTTATTCCATGATATAAAGCATAAAGATAATGAATGGTAAACTGTTATTTCAAATATTACATTAATTGTTAAATATATAAACATACTAATAAAAAGATGTAATATATATGGTAATAATTTCGTTTTGCTGTCTGGCCTACTGCCAAAGATAGGATGACGCATAAAACCTTAATCTTTATGGGCATGCTTACAGGAAGATGGGGATCTTGCAATGCAAGCTGCTTAGCAAGGGTTGGTTTTAAGCACAGAGAAGTTGAATGTCGTGATCGTATAACGGAATTACAATCCAACGATTGCAATCCTGAGAGAAGACCAATCGATACGAGGCGTTGTTATCACAGGCGGCAATGCGCGAATGATAAATCTGGTAATTGCATACTCCAGGGAGAATCGATCATTAAGCACATGATCTGAACGTATGCGCGGATATCTCGTGGTTTCTTTTACTTCTGTTTATTGCCTATCTAGAAAGTAACAATTTTCCTCGACTGTTAACTACATTGAATGTACACGGTGAATTAATGTCTTTCAGCAAACACTTTACAATATATTTCTTTAAAAGTATCATATTCATTCATTTTCCCATGATATTGATCATTCTACCTACATGTACATATGTAGCTGCATGTAAAAAGTTTTGTTGGTTCGTTAATATACATTCATAGCCACTGAAAATTATTTAACGTTAGTACAAAAATTAATACTTCTCATTTTTTCTAATAAATATTTCTGTTAAAGTATAGGCATATTTGTTTAAACTTTAACAAAAATTGATTTTTCTTACTATATATCTTCAAAGTTTTCCATTTTTTAAACCATTTATTCTCTTTTCAGAACACTATTTCCATCTTAAATGCCTTTTTGCCTGACAATTATGTATGCAAAATAAATGACACAATACCTTGGGAATAAATTTTTCTACAATTGGTTATATCACATTAATCAATAGTCTAAAATTTGTCACAGTGATAAAAGTAATCACCTTCATCATGCTAATATTCAAATTTCGATATACTGTTTTCCATTATCAGTTAATAATCAACAAACTAATAAAAAGAATGCCTTTATATAATTTAGTAATGATTGTTAGATTATATATATATAACATGAACTATTGAATCAAATATTGCTTTTGTTGCAGAGTGCAAGGATACGATCGTACCAGCCTCGATGTGTACGTCGTACAGACGCATGTGTGATGTTTCATCGATCGTGCAAGACAAATGTTGTGCCACTTGTTTTAAAAAGCGAAGACACGGTCGTCACAACAGAAGACACATTCTTGATCATTAAGTAATCGGAAACAAACACTTAGACCAAGAAGTTCTCGGTTCTTTATTGTAAGAACACTTCTGTAAAACACAATCCGTCCTAAGCATGTATTTACTTCAGAGAATAAGCTTGTTGAAAAATCACACAAAATATATTTTCTAATATAGCTAAATTCAATAAAAAATTTCGATACATCATTATAAATATAAATAACTAAATTTCATTTTTTATGTCTTTTAATAAAATTAAATTATAAAATAGAGAAAAGAATGACAAAAATTCGGAGAATTATAGTCACTATAATGAAGTTTTCAAATAACTGAATTAGTTATATTAACATACTGAAGATAAATTTAAGGCAAACTTATAGTTTTAGCAATTTAACGGTGCAAAAATATAAATGTTAATTAAATTTGCAAAATGTACAAATATATGTATACAGAAACACTATATATATTTGAATTATATATAGCTAAACATGAAAATCTGTACCTAACATTATAAATATTTTATGTTATTACACTGCTATTGACAATTTTAACACGTACGTGTCCAATAACACAAGTCTAATGAAAAAGGACAAAGTGTTATACTTTTTACTTTATTATAATGGATATTATGACACTCAAAATGTCTTTCAAATATAATAAAAATATGATAAGAAAATTTTTCCCTGCTAAAATGTATATTTTCTTATTTTATTATTATTTATATATATATCTTTAACTACACTGATATATTATATTTTTGTACAATTATATGCCTAAGACTGCAATTACTTGTGTAATACAATTTCACAAGATGCATAGAATAAAAAAACAAATTTAATTTTTTTTAAATCAATGATTTATGAGTAAAACTTTCTCAAGTAAATAATTCTATGAAAAATAAGATAGTATCTGAAATTTATTAGAAAGTACTTTATTCAATTTGATTAGTTCAATTTAAGTTAAAGATTTACATTGTACTACAATATTATTTGTTGGATCTGATAAACTTGTTTATTGACCTTTACCTTCATTATATTTATTTATATTACATGAGATGTACAGTGGAACTCCCATCAGTCCCACATAAAGTACAATACCAAGTATTACTTTCTCCTGCAATAAAAAAGAAGGATATATGAATTATAAATTTTAAATATTTTTTAATAACTATTAACAATAATTATTAATTAAATCATTTATAAAAAATAAATGATATACATATTGTACATGAATACATGTAGAATATATTAAATACACATATATTATATTACAGTTAATTGTAAGTTATTTATCATGTTTTATACACTTTCGTATTTATATAAATTTTATTCTAACAATGTCTTGTACATAATTATATAATACAAAACACGCATAATAAATTATCAAAATTCAAAAATTTACAAATTTTCCATATCTCTTCAGACAAAACAGTTGAACAGAAAAAACTGATTAACAATAATGGCATAATAAATTTGTCTAATCTTATGTAATGACAAACTTTAAATAAAAATACCTTTTCTTAGACAATTTGTCTCACTTCAAAAATAATATGATTTAATGTAATTTTATTAATGAAAAATTTAATAACAAAATTACTTAACTATGTAAGTAGGGAAATCTTAAATATCCTTTTATGTAACCCAATATTGTACATGAACTACTGATATAAAAACTTACAAAAATACCTTTAAAATTTTTACCATGTATATTTTTAAAATAAATAAATTGTTTGATTCAAAATAATATACTGGGTAATTTAATTATCAACACTTTGTTATGTAAGTGCACTTATAAGAATAATACTTACAGCAAAAGGTATCCTAACTCTTGGAGGTGTACCCATCATTGTCCTATTCTGAGTTTTAGATAATGCCGATAATCTCGGCACACTTCTAACTACACTTTGAATTGCGAACATGTTTCTTTTCCCAAAATTTACAAAGAACGTAGTTACTTTATGGACTCTCCAATTATATCTTAACACGCCCTCAGATCCAGTTCTGTCTGGATGAGTAATAAAATAGCAGCTTGTGTGAAAATTACATTGATCCTCTACTGAAAATAGAACGATCGATTCTCACATGAGCAGTGTTACCATATCGTTCCGTATGTCTAGTACTAAAGACGGTTGCGATAATACTCATAAATAAACAAACATATTTTAATCCATTGTTTGTTAATTTATCAATATTACTCAATTTATTTAGTATAAACATCATAAAAAATTAATTATAATCAAATTTAGTGTTTAATATTTGGTACAACTTCATAGTGGTATTAACTAGAGTCCATAATGGTTCCCCTATTAATTTAGCTAATTCAAATTATTTACTAAAATCACAATATCATTTTCAAAATAAGGATCAAAATGTTACAAAAATTAAATATTTTAACAAGTTTTCTAAATAATTCTACCAAATTATTATTATGCTTTAAAATAATTTTAAATAATAAATATATGTACACAATTTCATAGAAGAATTGAATAGAGCACAAAATATTCTAATAAATTTTAAATCTTATTTAAAAGGAATTTATAGAAACATATTTTTAAACTTTATATATTTATAAAATTATGTGTCATTTTGAAACAGTAAATTATTAAATACTAAAATTATTTTATTCACCTTTTAAGTGCAAATAATTAAATATTATTTAATTTTTCTGCAAGAAAAATGTAAAAAACAGATGTGCATAAATTTTTCTCCTTTTTCTATTTTTTCTGTTTTAACTGATAATGTTAGAACTAGGTATTATACCTAATGTTTGCACCTGCTACTGAATTACAAAAAACTTTTTATAACATGTGTTTTTCTTGTAATTTTTGTTTGTTTCATTACATCACAGATGTTGAACGTTAAACAAATAGTTTATGCTATAAATTATTAACATTATACAAGATAGTAAATAAATAATATAAAACTTATGTACACAAGTTTATATTTTTATATAGAAACTCATACTTCTTACTAATTATAAATTGTCATTCACTGTATAACAAATTTCACACATATATACATATATACACATGTCCATAGTAAAACTCAGTATTTAATAATTATTTTGTCTTCAATAATAAGCAATTAATCTCCGAGTTTTATCTTTAATACATGTTTGTTTCCTAAACAACCTTAAATGGAATCACCTACATATATAAATAAATAAGAATTCACAATATTCACACAAATTTAACAATAGGAAAATTGTGACATACTGAACATTATTAATATCATTTGCCATAAATGTTAACAATTGCATAGAATCACTTTTGGTTACAATTATATAGCAAATAATCAATTATTCTATTTTCATTCAATAGGTATCGTCCAAGGGTGATCTGGTATAACACCATATTGTATATCAGATAAATGTTTTAAAAACATTTTATAAACAGGATTTGAATGTTCCATTGTAGGTATATGCAATGGTCGTCCAACAAATTCTATGTAAGATACAGGACTAATTATGCAAGCTGTTCCTGCTCCAAATATTTCCAACAACTAAAATAAAATTGAATATTTATAATACTTATATAAACTTTAAACGATATATATTAAAACAAAAGATCTTACTCTATTTTCAGAGAGTAACTGACAAATTTCATCCATACAGAATTTTCTTTCACTGACTTTGAATTGATTCCATTCTCTAGCTAATGCTAAAATAGAATTTCTCGTGATACCAGGGAGAATTAAACCAGTTGATAAAGGTGCTGTTATTAATTCTTTTTCTGAAATTACAAAATAAATATTTATAAAAAATAAAAGGATTTTTCACTGTAGAATATAATTCAGTAAATGCAATAAATAATAAAATGAAAAATGTAAAGTAATACTTACCACCATCATCATTTATAAAAAACATAAAAACATTCATAGTCCCAGCTTCAGTTACTTCATTGTCCTTTCCATAAAGCCATAATACTTGCTGCAATCCCTTTTCTATAGCTTCGCTTTGTACATATATTGTAGGACTATAATTGCTGCCTACTTTGTAATTACCGCAACCACCTGGCCATGCTCTTGTGTACTGTGGATCGGCTAGTAAAGATATACCGACATTTTCTTTTGTTTTTTTAAAATAAGAACCCACAGGTGATAAAATAACATAGAGTAAAGCAGATTCTGAAGATGCAACACCAAGAGTGGGCTATATTAAAATACAGAAATGGCTATATATATAACATTCCTTTTATATTTCTAATTGATAGTTGGACAATTTCATTATTATATAAAATTAAATATTTTTTTCTAAAATACTATTTATTTTGTATTTAAATGTTTGAAATTGTTAACATTATTAACTTAATTTATGTTTATGCATTATTTTATTTATTATAATTCTTTTTCAATGAGATCAGTTTTTTTTAATACATATACTATATCATCTATAACTAATAATGTGTACAAATTTTTGAATATTATTATAAGTATAAAAACAAACATATAAAAGAATAACATATAATTCAGAGAGTACTTTGTGTAAAACATTAAATAAAAGAATAAATACAAGATGTTGCATTTTATTTCTATTATTCTTTATTTTTAATCACTAATTATTTTTCCTTTATAAAATACAATGCATATGTCATACAGTTTCTGATTGAACTGTATCTTATGGCCCTGCCCCAACAAAAGAGCATTAAGCATCAATTTATCATGTATTATCATTAAGTATTGTGAAATATATTGCTTACTTTATATATATCTGTTTTTATGACGTCTGTGACATCAGTGGCATGATTATTATTCCTATCATACAACTGATTAGAATTTACAGAACTAATATTTCAATAATACCATATATTAAACAAAATTTTTGTTTTTAAATATGAATACTTACGTCTATTCCTATGAGTGTTGGGCGTATATACAGACTAGAAGCAGTAGAATGAGGTATCCATTCCTGATCAATACTAACTAATCTACAACAACATTTAATTAATTCCTCCCCACTAAAAGTAGGTAAGCCAATTCTTATTGCTGAGCGATTCATTCGTTCCATATTTAAGTCTGGTCTAAATATTCTTATTTTGCCATCTACTCCTCTGTAAGCTTTCAAACCCTCAAATAACTAAAATAACAGTGCATACATATAAGTACTGAATATAAAAGTTTATTATATTACTATTAAACTATTTAACTTCTCAAGATACTAAATATTTTGCAATACAACATAGAAGTTTTAATTAGGAAATTGAACATGGAAGAATAAAAGATTATAATGTATAAAAGTACTCTCTTTTCTTTATACTAAACATTAAGATGGATAGGAAATATTTCTAAATATATTTCTTACCTCTATAGCATAATGTAGTACTTTTGATGCTGGATGAAGGACTAGATTTTCAAGGGGCATAATTTCTGGTATTTGCCATCCCCCTAGTGCTTCATGATAAAATATTTTTAACATATGATCTGAAAAATATTTACCAAATGATAAAGCACTTACATCAGGCTTTGGTTGTAATTGTTCTGGTCCTGCTAGACGGACTAACAGATCTGCATACTACAAATAAAATAAATAAAATTTAAAAATAAATAAAAGTTGTAAATAATTATCTTGTAAACCTGTTTAATTTATATATTTGAAAAAACATACCTTAAAAGAACGTTCTGGTTGTATTACTTTTTTATCTCTAATTTGCAAAGATGAATTGAATTTGACATTAAATTGAAGTTGATTTAAATAATTTCCACAGGATAAAATCTATATAAAAAATTTGTATGCTTGGATAACATATCTATAAATATATTTTCTAATAATATAAAATTAACATACATAAAAAATAGTTATAAACACATGATTGTAGTATTACATAACTTTTAATTTATATTTATAACAAACAAAATATTTTTCTTGAATTTGTGAATTACATAATGATTGATATGACATAATTAATGATTTATTAATGCAAAATTAAATGTAAAAATTACATTATTTTGAACACATATCATGAAATATCTGATTCAAGGAATTACATGACAAAACAAAAAAGTATAATGTAATAAAGTGTTAAAATTTGCAGATATATACTACGATAAGTGAGATACATGCTTATCTTAAAGTTTTTAATATAAATTGAATACAGAAATTATAATAAGGTTAGGTCAATAAAATGCATTGACAAGTTAATTATTCTTTCTGTTATTCATCATAAATTTCAAAAAACGTACACGAAGATCAAATTTTTTCATTTTAAGCATTACAGCTCATTGTGTTTATTTTTATTTTCTTTCAAACTAAACTCATTATTACTAAAAATGTATTCTTGAGCACGTGGTATCACACGTGTCTAAATGTCACACTTAACTTTTAAAAAGACACGCGGCAATGTTACAAAATTCGTAAAATTTTGCTTCATTCAACTAAAATAATTAAAAATTTTCCATTTACAACATTTTTGTTTAAGCCATTCAGTTTAAAATGAAATACTTTAAAATCTTGCAAAAATAAAAAAAGAGCACAAGACTATCATTGTCTAAAAATAATGCAGTATATCAACACTAAAATTTACAATATATAAATTACTACAATAATCTTTCTTAATACTAATTTTATTATACTATAATACTAATTTTTAATCTATAATTCATATTTTTTACAAGTAACTTATTATATATAAACTAAATTTCTGAATTTTTATTTAAAATTTCTATTATTATTTCTAATAATGGAAATCAAAAAATAAAAAAAATAAATCAAACCAAAAGAATTAAACAAATGAAACGATAGAGCTAACAAACAGAATTATTGTTATCGAAAAGCTTCTAGGTTTCGTTTTTAGACAGTTTTCTTATGCGTGTAAGAATCTTACATCATCATAGAGATACAGAGATAATTATAAAGATTGCATGAAAAATTCAGATCGTGTAAACAACCAAATCTTTTATGAGACAAATTTTAACACCAGTATTTCATATTTTAATTTTGATTGATACTATTATTTGTATATTTACATATTTATATTAAATTTTCAGAATAGTTGTGAAAAGCATAATTTACCTGACGCCGCAACTGAACCATAGTAATTATTAGTGACGAATAACCAGGAAATATTTACTCCTTTAGAACAACCCTTAATGCACAATGTTTGTTACACAAGTGTCAACCCGCGAATAAACATCAAATTTAAAATCAACTTTTCTTACTTCTTCTGTTTCGTTTGAATGTAAAAAAAGAAAAGAAAAACTGAATTGTATTAATAATATTCAGGAAAACAAAAAAAGAAATAGAAAAAGAATGCAAAATCTAATATAAACACAGGTGATTTTCACTCTTAAAAATGCGAATATTTTAACTATTATTATACAATGAATCTGCTATTATATACTTGTATCCGCTTCCTTGCGTATTCTCGAATAATGTCTACATTAACCATCAGTTAATATTTTATTTATTACCAGGCAAGGGGCATGAGAGACAGAATGATGCAGAGTCCCCCCTCTAGGTTCAGAATAAAAGAGTGGGGGGATTTGTCAGCTTAATATATATACTGTGATGTATACAATGTTGTGAATGTTTCTATTTAATTTAACGGAGTTAATATGATACTGTTGTTTGTTCATTTTAAATTCTATCTAAATACGTTTTACTTCTCCATTTTGTTAATAAACAAATGAGGATATATTTGTTATTGTTAAGTAATATGTTTGTTAAGAAAATAGACATTAATCGATATGGATTCAAGAATTTCTACAAATCAAAATTAGTATTTAATTATTACATATCAGTTTGCAGTAATCTATTACATATGATTGTAATAATTTCTAAGGAAGCAAGGTAATTTTTAAATTTATTTCCAAAAGTGAAAAGGGGTTAGTTTCTATAAAAGTTCCCTGAAGCTATCGTGAACTTTACTATGTAATAACGATAAAAATATTACAGATGATGAGCTTTAAAGACACTCTGTACATAAAAGATGAAACTCGTGAATATTGTATGGTTGAGAAAGGGGAGGAAAAATTCTAGCGGGACACAATGAGTGGGGGCAAGGAATTAAAAACAAGTTGATAATATGGTTTCTTCGAGCGATAAGAAAGGACAGCACGCGCGTTGTTAAGAATATCGGACGTTTCTCAATTCTCAATTGTACAGAAATATAAATATTTATTAAATGCACCGAATAATCATTGTAATTCGGATCTGCTGCTATCCTTCTATTACCGATTATATTTTCCTATATTTGCAAGCCTTTTATAAGTGAAATGCATAAAAGGGCAACTTTTCTCTTTCTTGCGGAATTGACAAGTAAAGAAATTATGTATCAAGCTGAACAATCAAAGAAAAATATTTTGGATGAAAGATTGTAGTTTTGTTTACCTCTCTTTCTGTATTAATGGTGTATAAATGTAAAAATCAATGTATCGTATTATACACGTGACAACACTAAGAATGAGATTCACGAACATCTTTTTATAGGAAGCAAATATAGATTATACGTAATTGCAGAGAAAAATATACAAAAGTGCAGAGAAAGATAGTTATACGTAAGTGCAACTGTCGAATAAGATGACATTTTGACATAAATTATAAAATCTTAATGATGTTCGATTATTGTCGATACGTCCCTAACTTCACCCTTTCAATCATAGTCATCTTGTTCCAATGCTATAACATTTTCTTTTCTATAATAAATTGTAATTATCGTTGTTTACATAAATTTACAACACATAAATAGCGCAATTTCTAGAATTAACGGTAAAAAATAATTGTATCTTAACGTCATGGTTACTTGTATAGATTTTGTACTTTTTATTTTCACAATCAGTACCTTCTACACCATACTATGATAATGAAATCGAAAATAAATATCTTACTGCATGTATATACATATGTGTATCTGCATCTTTGCATTTTTAGTTTTAGATGTAAAATAATTGACAGCGAGTTATTTGCTTGTCAAACATATAATGCTTAATATTGAGTTCAGAATAATAACCGATTTGATGTATTGATACCAACTGTCTTTAGTAATATAGTAGAACACGATAAAATAGTAAACAAAGATTTATCGCTTATGTTGTTCTTCTATAGAATCTGCGTAATGTGCATATTCGATGATGGAAATTGTGAGTGAATAGTTCCAAAGATGGCAGAAAAGGAAACTGATGTGACTGATTCGTAAATCTATCGATGTGAAAGTGTTAGTCGATAGATGGCAGGATTAAACAGTTTTACAGGATGCAATTTGCATTATGCTTGAATGCTATTTATCGACCGATCGATCAAATTTGCACAATTATATTTCTACCGTTGCAAAAGGAATCTTATTCTATGATGCACCAGAAATAAGAATCCTGTATTAAAACAATATATAAATATATAAATATATGCGTATATATTTACGTACAATTATGTGGAATAACACACACTATTTATTCACCACTACAGACAGGTATGAGATACTGAGATTTGACCTAGGATATAAGTTTAAATATACAGATAAGTTTGCGTGATATAACTCAGTATTTATAAGAATGAGTAATTTATATACAATATACGATACTGCGTTGAATCATTGATATGTAGCCGTCGAAGTTTTCATACATTGTTTATGAAAATAGGTTCTTTAAATATTCTTAGTGTCAACACTCTAACTATATCATTGTCATAAGAATGGAACTCGCAAAGTTGCCTCGCGAACACATTCAATGGTAGGATATTATCTTTACATTATGAGATTTGATAATTTTATAAATATCTTCTATTTAAACCAAATATATTGTTATTGTTATATATACTCTTATGTTGACAGTGAAATTGGAATTACTAAAAAATCAGACAGGTTGATTCATTTAGGCTAACTACTTAGAAGATTAACTGAAGCCAAAAACTCCACTTTCTGCATACTTCTGTCTTTTTATTGCCAGACGACTATATTTTTTTACTGTTTGCGGGTTTATCGTTAAATAGTCTACATAAACATTTTCTGTATATATATTCGTATACTTGGAAAATTAATGAATTGCATTTTTTGCTAACTGATGTATGATCTTAATTACTATGTAACAGGGACCTTTCTAACTCAGAACTTGTTATTAAAATGTCATTTAATGATATAGTATGTATAAACTATTTTGATTAAGGCATTGAATGTAACGTAGTTTCGTAATCTTTGTTAGATTGTCCTATTATATTGTTGTGTAGCAAACAGTATTTTTTTCCATGCATGTGTTATTCACTGCATTATATTTCATTAAATTCTAAAGTCTTAATTAAATAATTAGTAAAATATATTAATAATAACAGCATACTCAAATTTATGCTTATGTTAAGTGTTCACGGATATTGCGTCAGACTTTCTTCGATAGGTAGAGCAATTCCATGGATTTTCACTCTTCAAGTGCTAAAGCACACGTTGATTAAATTTATCACTAAGAGATGGGATATTAGGAGTAGTAGCGAGGGTACAAGAACGACACACGGTTAATTCTTCGTATGTGTATATGTACATAAAAAAGGGGATACGTAAAACATACCCTAATGACCTCGTACAAATCTCACTCTCTTATTCTGCAATTAATTAACAGAACTTAACAATACAAAATCGTAGCATGTTATAAAAGAAGGATAGCTTATCTGAGTTACCTATAATTAATTAAATATAATGTTATTAATTTAATTTAATTCTTCTTACTTCGATATTTTTGTACAATAAAAAAATAAAATAGATACCGTTCAATGTTTGTCAATAGTTTGCAATAAGTCTGACGAACTCCACTGTTCGGTGTTGCACGAGACTCACGACAGTCCCACTATCAGTCAACTAATTCCCCCACCAGTCACTTGACTAGTCACCACTTCATACATATAACTTATATTAGCAAACATTATTACGATCACAAATGCATTGAAGCAAATTGAAAATTTTTATGTGAATTTTCTTTCATTTTTTCTTTTTTACAATCAAAATATAAAACACTAGTAACGTTCAGAATTCTACAGACAATGTAGAAATGGTAGTTATGTGCGACTTATGAGCCTCCACCAGTTCGCCACAATACCGATGTAAAGACGATGTGATAAAATCAAAAAAAATTTCTAGTACAAAAGCTTGTACAAAATAAATTTTGCATACTAAATTTCTATGCTTATTACATGTAATGTAACATTCTGACCTTATACAAAATTTCTTCCTTCCTAGTTTTACTTTTTGAACGTTATTTTTAGCGGTATAATTTGTAATCATCTACATTTGAACTCGCTGGTTCGATGATAAGCAGTAGAAACTTGAATTTGATATTCTATTTCTTTCAGTGTCACTGATTTTGCATTCGAACATCTTGAAATTATCTGGTACTGATTGTTTTTTTCCTTGGTTTAAAAGTGTTTATATGAAATGGAACAAATAAAAATTAATTACCGATAAATCGAAATTATTAGGTTATCTATAAACTTCTGAAATTAATTCGCAAATATTTGGAGATATAGGTAGCAAGACAAGGACATACAATAATTGCGTCATTTGTACAAATTTGTCGATTTAAAACTGTGCAGTACGAGATTCGGATAAACTAACATCTTTTTATATTGACTGCATCGAAATTTCAATTTTGCCAACAGGCTCTATAAAAACTTTCCTTAGTTTCTTGTAATTAATATCATGTTACTATGAAGTGTAATTTCGTAAATTTCATGGCACTGAAACTAAATTTAGTACTATAAATTTTGTATATGAACAGTATAGATTTGTATAACTCTCGAGTTATAGCTCATTCTAAGGTACTGCTTATTTTAAGTAAATAATAAAAGGCGATAGTAGATTGCCAATTTTTGTTTTTCTCTAAATAATGCTTTCAATTCTATGTTTCAATATTATATTTGTCACACATAGTATATTTTAATATTGCTACTGTTTAATTAATCGCCGACTGAAAATACGAGCATTGGTCTTAGACGAATCATGTTACATCGGCGTTGTGAGTATATTATTCTTTCCTGCCGCCAACTTATGCATGCTATTGAAATCGACTCAGTGCAGTCGTGCGTGTTACTACTGGAGTTCATCTCCATATCTACGAACGCATAACAATTTTGTAAATTCACTGCTTTTTTCACTGCTGATCTGGGCAAGAATTACGAATATTATTCATCTGATGTTTACACATTTATGTCGCAATTGTAAAGATTAGCGGCAATTTTCGCAAGTACGGAAAATTACACTGTAATCCAACGTTCGAGCCACCAATTATCACAATGAATATTTCCGAATATGAAGGATTCTTCATAAAATCTATAAACGATAATAGATCAAGATTGTCTCCATTTGTATACATTTCATTGGTAATTAATATTTATGGTTATAAGTAACTATATCAACAACATTCAAAAGCGAGAAAGAGAGAGAGAGAGAGAGAGAGAGAGAGAGAGAGAGAGAGATATCATCGAATACGTCTTATGTATTACGTACATAAAATAACCGTGTGTTATGTATATCCTCACTGCTATTCATAATATTTTATCTCCTCGTAATAAGACCAATCAAGGTATACTTTACAACTTTAAAATGTAATAAAAGCTTTTGGCTGCGTCGAATTTTGATCATATGAAATGCACTGTTTTCTGTTGTCATTTATACACATGAATGGTTCCACGTAGATGCAAGGATGCTGTTTATTCGTAATCACGTTTTAAGTTACTAAAAAATAGTTGAATGTTGTCTGACTGTAGTGTTGTCATTTCTTGGCTGTTCTTGTGGATGTTGAGATAATACAAATGCAAATTTTCAAGACGCCGCATCAAGATCGGAAG